GGAGGGGGGCCGTAATTCCCCGGACGCCACCAGGGGAGAGAGGAGAGCAGGATTTAGATTGTGTAATTGTGGAGGGGGGGGGACCTCCTTCCCTTCTCCCCCGTCCTACCTATGAGCCTCAGTAGCGGTCGCCCGCGGCCCCGTCGAGGGTCGAGGGTCGATGGCGAGAGGGGGAGCGACGGGTCAGAGGGAGAGAGGCCAGGGGCATGGGGCGGCCCCTGCAGCGCGAGCTTCAGACGATGCCGCGAAGCGATCGGCAATGGGTGCCGAGGTGACGACGTACGCCGTGTGACTCTGCGCGCACACAGCGCGGGTCGGCTCCAGCCCCAGGCCTCCGGACCAGCCGGAGCTCACCACCCTTGCCCCTCACCCGTCCCACCCTCGTCCTGCCCATGTCCCATCTCCTCCTCCTCCTCCTCCTCCTCCTCCTCCTCCTCCTCCTCCTCCTCCTCCCGCCCCCTCCGTCCGTGGGATGAGGGGAAAGGGTCGTCTGATCACTACTCAGGGGGCTTCCCCTGGATAGTCTCTCGTTCTGAACCGTCCCTTCACGGCCCGAGTGACCGGGAAGGCCCCTGGGAGGTCCCAAAGCGAGCACCCAATCCTTTGGAGGTCCGCACCTTCTCCCTGGCGCGCGAAGCGCGCCAGGAGCGGCGCCACAGGCGCCGCCGGCGGGGCCCAGCGCCGATCCACGAGATCCGTGCAGAGCTCGGCAAATCTAGATCTACGCTGTATATTCTCCTTCGACTGCTCCATCCCCCCTCACCGGCAGGAAGAAGGCAGCCGCACACCAGAGCCGTGCCTGGCCGGGATGGCTCGGAGCAGGGCGAAGTGAGACAACGGCAACTCAAGCATCGATCCCCAGACGCCACCCGGGGTCCAAACCCACCACCTTCCCGAGCTGCAGCCAACCGTGGCGACGGAGGGACGCCCCGAAGGCCAACCACCGGCGACTCAACTCGCCCTCCTCTGACAAATCCTTCCCGAACGTTGCCCCTGGTGATTTTCGGGCCATGACTCGGACACCCGGGGGGCCGTTCGGGACGATCCAGGCACCCCGGGCCGCTTCTCGGCGAGGCGCAGCCGCCGAAGGCACCCCGAGGCCGGGAAGCCGCCGATGGCCTACGAAAACACCCGAGAACCTCGAACCTCAAGCCTGGACCCGCAAGGCCAGCCGCCGTGGTCTGCACCCGCCGTCGCTCGGGCGTCCACTCCCCGTGTCCTTTGTTGCGGTCCCGTGCGTGCTGCTTGTGGCAAGAGGTTCCGGCATGCTCCTCGATGGCCCCCGTCGAGACAGCAGGCACGCGTCCGAGCGGTGCCGAGCGACCTGGTCAAAGGAGGGAGGAGGAGGGAGGAGGAGGAGGAGGAGGAGGAGGAGGAGGAGGAGGGGGAGGAGGAGGAGGAGGAGGAGGAGGGGGACCTCTGAAGAGCCCTGGCCAGGCACGGCCTGGTGGTGACCCGCCTGCGCGCGGCCCCCGCGCTCGCCGCCGCCCTGCGCGCGCGCCGCCCTCGGCGCGGCAGCGAGCCGCGCCGCGAGGCGCGCGCCTCTTTCGTGCCGTGGAAGGGCCACGCGGCGCGCCGCAGCGTCGCGCGTCGCGCGCGCGGGCGGCCCGCCCCAAATTGCGAACGTGCACTCTGCCCTCCTACCCCGTCCGCCCTCAACCCCCTGGGGCCTCCCCCCATCTACGTGACGACAGGAGTCGGTGGTTCAAAGGGGGGGTCCTCAGGGACGGGGTCATCAGGGACGGGGTCCAAGATCCACATTTGGATCCCTGTCTGACTCCATGGGACCCCCCATCCCTCAGGACCCCGCTTTGAGCCACCACAGGAGGCGAGGAGAAACTGTCGCCGCCACGGCTGGCGGCGCCGCCGCCGCCGCACTGCCGCGGTCGGAGTGGTGCCCGTGGTGTAAGACGGCGGCAACTTTACACCGACACGCACTGCTGGGACAGGCCAGTCTGGGGCCTCAAGATCGGCGCGCGCGCCCTCTGGGCCCAGCCAGGACGGCCCCATGCTCCGACCATCCGACCAGTGGACCCAGGACGAGGTGGCGACATCCGAGCCCTATCCCCCCAAACAACCATCAACTCTGTCGAATCGATGGGGGTGTCTGGCGAATTCCGAAGCCTACCCCATCCGCCCCTCGAGTTGCCTGAATCGTTGATCGGCGAGGCTAGGGTTCGGATTTCGCGTCCGACAAGTCTCAGGAAACAATTCCTGGGGAGGCCTTCGAAAGAACGGTTAAGGGCGATTCAGCCCGAGCAATGGACCATCGAGCCAAATTAGGCACAATGAATTAGGATTCGGCGGACAATTCAGACAAAGTTAACGAAATTGAGCGAAGGACTAAGACCATCCACAATGGACAAATCCGGATTCAGCAGGGTTCAGCCCAATTGTGATGCCCTCCGCTTACGGATTTACGAATGCTGGAGCTGAATGAAGCCGACCAAGAAATGCATTCGTGGTCAGGTGGCAGGTTGGCGTAAAATGCATAAACTGCCTTATCAAATCCTCGCAGGTCCATGTCGAATGCAGATGTGGTGTCTGGCCCTAAGTGGAAAATAGAGTAGTACCTTCCTCCCCTTCCTGCCACTCCTCCTTCCAGTCCAAAGTCTCTCTGTCTCTCTCTCTCTCTCTCTCTCTCTCTCTCTCCCTGCGTAGCGCCTCCGCCTCCTCCACCTCCTCCTCCTCCTACTCCTCTTCCTCCTCCCCTGTTGCTTCTTGTGTGTTTCCTTATCCTTCTCCTATCCCTCCCCATCGTCCCCCTCCTCCCATTCTCCATATGTGTCCTCCACTTTCCCGACATCCTTCTCATCATGATCCTCCACGCCATCCCCATCATCAGTGTCACCATCCTCATCCTCGGGATCCTCAACATTATCAGCAACAGGAGCGGCATCCTCACCGTCATGGCTATCACCTTCGTCGTCATCTTCAACATCAGCACCGTCCCCATCGCCATCATCTTCATGCTAGACAGTATTAACACTATCCAAGTCATCCATCACCATCACCATCATCAGCATCCGCATCATCATCATCAGCATCATCACCATCATCAACATCGTCATTCTCAACAGCATATACATCAGCATAAGTATCGTCGTCATCATCAGCATCATCATCGTCGTAATCATCGTCATCATCAGCATCATCATCAGCAGCATCATCATCGTGATCGTCATCATCATCACCATCACAAGCATCATTACCGCCACCATCATCATCACCACCATCACCACCCCCCCCGCCACCTCTATCTTCTTCATCAGCATCATCAGCATAACCATCAACATCATCAGCATCATCTGTATCGTCATCAGCAGCATCATCGTCGTCAACTGCACCATCACCATCACCACGACCATCACCATGACAATCACCAGCATGACCATCAGCTTGAATAGCATCACCGGCACCATCAACATCATCATCATCGTCATCATCATCAGCATCATCAACATCATCAGCAGCATCATCATCATCACCATCATCACCAGCATCACCATCATCGTAATCGTCATCAGCAGCATCATCATCGTACTCATCATAACTACCATCGTACTCGCACGCACCATCATCAACATCGACACCATCACCCTCATCATCACCATCGAAATCACCATCAACAGCATCATGCATCGACATCATCATCAACAACATCGCCATCATCAACACCAACAATATCGTCGTCATCATCATCATCGTCCTCATCCTCATCCTGATCCTCTTCATCCTCATCCTCATCATCATCATTATCCTCGACTTCCTCGTCCTCACTGTCTTCCTCCTTCCGTGTTGCTCCTCGACGTCCCGCTATGTGTAATATAACGCAGCCTGCAGATATGCTGCAGATCGTCCCTCACTCCTCATCCTCCTCCTGCTCCCCCTGCTCCTCCTCGCACCTGGACTTCCGACGCCGTCTTTTTGTCCAGCGCGGCTTCCCCAAAGTCTTGGAGGCTTCTCAGCCCGAATCGTTGTATGGACGGTCCCAAGGCTCGGCCAGGGTCCACACAAGACTGCTAGAAACCTTCCCGCCGGATTTTGCGCCACGACGCGAGGAGGTCATAGTACTCCTCCTCCCTCCCTGATCCTCCGAATCCCTCCCCACTCCTCTCGCGTTGACGAGCGTAAGCCTTCTGGGGGGAGCGCAGACCGTGCCCCTGGGACAAGAAGTCCCAGGATTGAACTTGACGGCCAGCCCAGTTGGCTCGCGAGGAGCACCTCGATAGCATGGAGGAGAAGCGAGGAGAGGCGTCCGAAGAGGGCGGCTCGGGCTATCCGAGAGGACTTCTCTGCAGACCTGCAGTGGGGGCGACTGCCCCCCCTTCTCCTTGAAGCACAGGCCTTCGAGGCCCGGGCCCATGGGGCCTATCGACATCACTCCTCGGACCGATCTGTCGTCGCGCGTCGTCGTTTCGATTGGCCCTGCAGGGCTCCAGAGTCTGGTCCCCGGCGGACGATTCACGAACACGCGCCAGCAGTTGTGTGTTTGCCTACCCGCCGCGAAGCTGGAGCTTTTGAACGTTTACATGCACACCGCCCTCCAGCCGATGCCCTGGATGCGGAAATCTTGCCCTCACACCCCAGGGCCTAAGAGCATCGATCATCTCCACTGCTTCCTGTGGTCCTGGGGCGTCGGCCCTCCAGGCGGCGGAAACGCACACACTCTGGCCTCGGACTTCTGCCACGACACCCGAGCGACGACACGACACGGGGCTCTCGCGTGATGGCATAGCGACCTTATGCGGTGGCTTACGCAGGACGCCAGCGCGGCACGCTACACTGGAGACGAAGGCTCCGACGCGCCATCTCGCGCAGGCAGCTTGCGCGCCCGTTTCTCTGCGTCGCTCACCTGGAGCTTTGGGAGGGGGGGGAATTCTTGTCTGCGGCGTGGGCTGCGCGCCCTGCGTGCGGAGGCACCGCGCGCAGCACAGCAGCCGCGGGGCGCCCGTGGGAGGGCCCCCTCCCTCCTCAGTACACGGCCACCGGGGGCTTGATCAAGGGCTGCATCTCCGCCTGGGAGGCGGAGGTGACCTGCGCAGAAGGCGGCTGCGCACCTCCGCCGCGCCTGGCCAGGGCAACCCTGGGCCCTGGGCCGCGGCCCTGAGGGCGCATGCACGTTTCCATGGGGCTCGGGATTGCCCTGACCGGGCACTGCGATGGCACGCGGGGGGAACCAACAAATGCCGACACCGCGACTCCCCGGGCCTCTCCCGTGATGCGTTCTGACTCGAATTTTCCAGCAAATCCAGGCGTGGTGACGAGGGCCCCCCCAGCGGCCCGACACGCCATAAACAGGGCAAGGGTGGCAGTGTCGGCGCCTGCTCCAAGTGGCGACATCCGAACATTACTCTCGTCAACAATCGATTATCCGAATTCGATGGGAGACAAATGTAAGGTTCGGATTTCGCCACGTGCTCGACAAATTCCTGACCCTACCCCCGCGGCCCATCGAGTTGCCTGAATCCTCAATCGGCGAGTGTTGGGTTCGGGAGAACTACCCAAAGATACGATGTCCTGATTCCTTCAATGCGCGGTGCCCAGAAGGCCCGACGCTCTCTCCAGGGCCAACTTGTCATCCCGTGTAGATTGTTGACGGTCCCGGGGCCCAGCGAGGGCATGTGCTAGAACAAAAATGCGTAAACATACACTTCGGAAATCCGCGCGGATTCCTTGGATCGGCGCTGAACCTCCCTCCCTGGAGCGCGGAACGCGCCAGGGGCGGCGCCGGAGGCGCCGTCAGGGGGGCCCAAGAGCCGATCCAAGAAATCCGCGCGAAGCGTGGTCATACAACTTTTCTTCTTCGATCTGCAGAGGACCACCGCTGGGGGGCGAGTAGATGCGGTCGGAGGATTGCGCCGCTTCGCCGATGCATCGCCGATGCATCGCCGATGCATCGGCGATGCGCCTCGGACCCCATCTGGGAGGACCAGATCTGAGCACTAAGTCACTACGGTCAACCCGTCTCATAAGGACACACGGTAACGTCGGAAAGCCATGTCGACACTTTGCGAGCGAGGCGCTGTTAGCGAAAGCGGCCAAGGACGGCCGAAGGGAAGGATACAAGGGTAACCTTGGAAAGTTGCTCATCCTTACTGTGCGGGTTGACCGTACAGAGGCCTCCTAGATGGGGTCGGAGGATCGCGCCGCATCGCCGATACATCGCCGATGCATCGCCGATGCATCGGCGACATCGGCGATGTATCGGCGACGCCAGCTTGGAGAGAATCGGGCTCCACATCGAGACGCACCAGCGATGCATCGGCGAGGCGGCGCGCTCCTCCGATCCCCCCTCTACTCCGATCCTATCTGGGAGGCCTGGACTCTGTTCGGCCATACGCAAGAGTGACCCTGGGTAAGAATGACCTTTGGTGCACGACTTTTGGGGCTCCGCGGGGGGACCAAACCTGGGCGCGCCAGCAGCTGCTACTGCTTCCCTTTCGGCCATCCGGGGACTCACCTGTGCCCGCATTACAGGCCACTCTGGTGAAAGGTCACTCTTGTGTCTACTTGACCTGTGGGCGCCCCCGAGGACCATCGAGCTCCCGGCGCGGGCCATGGGCCCCCGCCCCGCGCCGCACCCCGCGCGCGGCGGGGCGGCCACCGGGCGCATGGGCGCCAGGAGCCGGCTGCTGCCGCCGGCGCCCGCGCCGCCGGCGCCGCCGCCGTGCAAGGAGGGCGGGCGCTGCGCAGTGTGGTGGGGGGCTCCAGGGCCCCCTCGGGCCAGGAACAAACATCACGGCGGAAGGTGTTCCAGAGTGTCGGCCTCTCTGGGAGCCCTCGCGGGGCCCCGATCGAAGGTCGACTCGGGAGGAAGAGCCGACCCTGGGGGGAGGGTCGGGCCTGCCGGGGACCGCGTCGCATGTCTGGGATAGGGGCCCCGGGGAATCCTGGCGTCGCCATGGTTTCCGACCTGGGCGTTGGCGGCCCTGGATCCTGCCTCGGGCGCCCTCACAGACCGATCCGGCTCGGAAAAAGGTGCAAGGAGATGGGATGGGGTCTGAGGCTCTGGTCGCGATGGTTCGTAATCTTGTGCTGTTCGCTATGCCGGATCTCAGGGTATGGGAGGGGAAGACACGTGCATGTGCCCCTTTCGCGCCCCTCGTGAGACCCAGAAGGCCCCTTTGTGGGGCCCCTTTCAGGGAGCAAGAGGTGCACCTATCTCCCCCTTCTCTCGGCGGTGGACAAACCTCCCTTTAGTAAACCTCCCTTTAGTGAAAACGGCCTAGGGCCGAAACCTATGGACCTGGACCGGCAAACATGACGGCCGCGACGCCCTCTCGCAAACCGAAAACGGCCAATTCGCTAATCGACGTGTCAGGGTAAGAGGTCTATCAACCTCCCCCCCACATCTCTTTTAGCCACCCCAATACACAACGCCCGAGGAGGGCGGTGGCGGGTGGCCGCCGCCGGCAGCGCTGCCGCGGGCAGAATGGTGCCCGTGATGCAGGACGACGGCAACTGTGCTTGCACGTTGGAAGCCCTTCGGACGCCCAAGCCAAGCCTTTTCGAGCGGGGTTGGCCAGCGAAAGTGGTTAAGGTTGGACCGAATTAGAGGGGCAAGGATGCAAGGGTACCCTTGGGAAGGTTACCCCATCCTTATTTTCGATTTCGACTATACGCCGAAACGCGCTGTTGAGACAGGCCGGTCCTGGGCCACTGGATCGGCGCGTGCGCCCTCCGAACCCAGCCCATTGCTCCGATCCGCGGGCCCAGGACGAGGTGGCGGCATCCGAACAGCCATCGATTTCCCTGATATCGATGGGGGGCGTGGGTCGGACCCTGCCCCCGCCGACCCTCGAGTCGATCGGCGAGGGTAAGGCTCGAAATCCGCTGCCAAAGGCTAGGCCTGCACGGGAGCGGTGTCGGTGTGCAGGTGCCGTCGTCCGATGGTGGCGCGTGTGGTGCCGCGACGAGGCCGCCGCGGCGGGGTGCGCGGCGGCGGGCGCGTCGCTCGCAAGCTGGTGCCTGTCGGAAGGGGGCGAGGTGGCGACAAGCTCCAACACGCTCGCGCCGTCTAAAAAAACCCTTGCCGGCCAGGGATGGGGACTTCCCAAATACCCCGCATTGGAACAAAACCAAGACACCGCATGCCTGGAACGGTAGGATCGGTTCCGCTGCCATCCCAGGCGCCGCCGTGACAAGCACGGCAGCAATGCGCTCACAGGCCCCCAGGCCCGCCTCACAACAAGAAGACGCATGGCTTGTTAACACCGAAGATGTTCGATCCGTGAGGTGATCAGAACTTGGCGCTGCGTCATTTACGCTCGTGGCCGCACAAGCCTGCCGAGAAAAGGATACCAGGAAGGATAGGGATGATTGGCCTTCGGGGGGGGTCCTGGCCGCCACGGCTGGCAACAGCTCGAAAAGCTGGTGCGCTTGAACCCCGCAAGGGGTCGGGACACCGATTTTGAGCTGCCGTTGTCTCATCTCACCCTGCTCCGAGCCCAACCCTATGCCTGAATGTGAGGTTTCTGCAGCCACAGCTGGGATCCCAGAGATCCGATGTCGTGATTTGTTCAATACAGGGACCCCGGAAGTCTCGACCCAATCCCCAGGACCGCTTGTTCATCCTGAATCATTTTTTGACGGCCCTGGGGCCCGGCGAAGGCCGCTAGAGGCCGAAAGTCGAGAATAACCTCCGTCTTGATTTTTCAATACGTTGGAGGTCTGGGATTCAGACTTCGAAGGATGTCTGCAGCCAAGGGGGCGACGATACGAAACCTGTCTTACGCGAGAAGACACAGCGACCTCACGTAGCGGCGGGCCGCCAGCGTGGCCCCCCGCGTGGAGAAGCGTTGCATGAAGCATTCAGCCTGACTGAAGGAACGGTACATAAGGATTGGGACCACTTGTTTCCAAGTAAGACTACGAAGTCCTTTTTGAGAAATACAAAGAACGGAGCCCCTTTTGAAAAGCAAGTGCTCCTTATTCAAGCCGGATCATGTAATCGTTTCGGCCCCGGGGGCCATAAAACTACGCACCGTACCGTGCCTGGGTTGAGCATCGACGACGCCTCGGGCGACGCCGACGCGGCACGGTGCACACAAGCCCCCCGCGGACCTAGCCCGATACAGGGCGCCGAACTCACCTGCAGGGATATACGGTCAGAAACTGTTGCTTATCGTGTCGCGGCGGCGGCCCCGGCGACACACGATGCCTTGCGAGCGGATAGCGTGTCGCGCCGTTCAGCGGGTTGGGAGGTCGGGAACAGCTCGGGACAGTGACGCCTCGAGACCGCGACGTGGATAGCGTGCCGCTCCAAAGCGTGATGCGCCAGAACTGGCGGCGCGACGCGCTGTGCCAAAGCTTCTGACTGTAGGGTTCGCCCGTGGTCGCAGCTGCCTGGCCAGCGCCCCGGCCACGGGGAGCCGCGAAGCCGCGGCGCCGGCGGGCGGCGGAGCTGCTGCCTGGCCGTAGCCGTCGACGCCGAGGCGCTCCATGGCGGCCGGCAGCCGCTCCAGGCGTGCCTCTGGGCATCGTTTAGTGCATCCCCGCTGGCGTGGCCTTGGCCCCAGTGGCCGACTCGCCAGCCTTTCCGTCGGGAAAAGCGATCCTTGGCGCGGGCCCCCCCCCCAGATGGGATGCGTCCCCAGGGCCCCCCCAGGGCCCCGCGGGGCCTCCCCCTCAGATGGGATGGGGGTGGGGGCGACGACGACGACGACGACGACGACGACGACCTCCTGCTCCCTGAAGCTCTGCAACACCACCAGGGCTCCACAGCAGCACCAACCCACACCCACAGGAGGGGAGACGTATTGGGCGGGGGGGGCCAAATCCCATCTGCATTGGGGCTGGGGGGCAACTGGGCCCTGGAGCAGATCTGCTGGTTCCGTCGCATTTCGCGGGGCCCATCCCCAACTGGGAGGGTGGGCTGGTGGGGCTGAGATACCATGGCCCAGAAGGGATGCGCATCGATTAGACGATGCTGAGCCTCGAGCCGCTGCTCCAAGGGCTGCAGATAGCCGTCGATGCCGAGGCGGTGCTCGCCGAGGAACAGCAACGGCACACACATCAACCCTCCAAAGCCCCAGCGGATTCCTTGGATCGGCGCTCGACCTCGCCGGCCCTGGCACGCTCCGCGCGCCAAGGAGGAGGGCCCAGTGCCGATCTAAGATATCCACGCGGACCTTCGAAAGTCTACGTCTGCTTGTTGTTCCTCTAGCTCGGCGGCGTGGACGTCGTCCAGGTTCAGCATCTTTTCCATCTGCTCCTTGAAATGCGCCTGGTCGACGTGGGCCGCCTCCCCGAAGGTGAGCACATACGCGAAGCTAGAGAATACCCAGATGCACAAGGAAGCGATGACTCCGGTGCATACCGCGCGCTCGAGGAACATGCAGCGCAGCACCTCGCACTCCATGTCCAGTGCTGGGTAGTACTCGCTCTGGATTGGCGGCGCGCACGAGGAGGGAGGGCCAAAGAGGGGCGGCAATCTAAGACGCCAGGAGAGCTTCTACGAAGGCAAGGGGGCTTCGCTCAGAAGCCCTGACAGCTGATCAGACGCCTGCCTAGCACCCACGTGCCTTTAAGAAGGCGAACGCCTTCTCAGGAGCCCCCCTCCCCCGCCTCCTTCAAACTCACGGCCCTCGCGCCACCACCCGCTGCGCGCCGCCAGCTGAAGCCAGCAGAGCCTCGGGAGCTTCATGACCACGAGGAATGCGTAGGCGAGGAACTGCAGGTTCAGAAACGCTACAAACCAGCGCGCCGCGTGGGACAGCGAGCTGCTACGCTGGGCTTCTGCGTCGGGCAGCCCGTCCGCATTGAAGATGACCACCTCGGCTGCTGACTCCCATCCCAGAGGCTGCCAAGCCCAGGATGACTGCAATCTTAAAGACGCGCCCTCAGAAACTGAGGGTCCCCTTAAATCGGCACAGACAAGGTGCTGCCAATCATGTGAACAGAGAGATGTTTCAAGCTGGTAGCTGAAACCCGACGGAACAGGTTCGGAGGCCTGACTCGGCCCTGGGACTGTCGAAAAGCGACTCAGAATGAGAAGCCGTTCCCCGGGAGGGGGCCCAGATCTCTGGGGAACCACGCTGCGAAAACATCAAAGAAACAGATGGGTCCTGCAAGGAAAATCAGCGATCGAGGTTCCATGCCCGCTCTTTTGGTTAGTCTTTTGGGTCCTCCTGTGGGTGCCCTCGTGGCCACGACTGGGTTCCCATCGAACTTCTGGTCCCAATGAACCCCAGGACAGGTCCAGGAGACAAGACAGCGAGGGGCGGGCTGAGGAGGACGGAGGGGCACGCTGCTGCTGCTGCACCTCCTCTTCATTTTTCTCGAGATCGGACCCCTCTTTCTCCTCCCCCTCATCCTTTCACTCCCCCGTTCTTCTCCTCCACTTCCCCCTCTCCATCCTTCTATCTCCCAGCCGGTCGACGGGAGTATCTTCGTCGGATCGATCTCGGCGAATAGCCCAAGGCCCTGACTCGCGCCCAGCAGGCAGCAAGGGCAGCGAGGTAGTCTCTCTTTGGATCACTCTGCGATGGCGCATTCTCATTCTCATTATCATTCTCCTCCTCAACCCCTTCCTCTTCTTCCACTATCCCTTCATCCTATCCCTGCTGTTCTTTCTCCTCCACCTTATCTTCACCCTAGCGTCTATTGTTCCTTTCCTTATGCCTTCATGTCGTGTTGCTTATCCAGATAGGTATCCGTTCCAAGCGCGGCCGCCAGGCTGCAACTGCCAGGTATGCTTGACGGTCTAGAGTCTAGCACGTGCATCCGATTTGAGATTTCAGGATGAGCATTGTCTTTCTGCAAGCTCTTTCCTATGCAGGTGTGGCGTGCTTCCGGCGAGTGGATATCTTCGACGTGCTTACATGCAGCAGAAGCGGCGATGATCAATGTCGCTGATCGCAGTCCTGTGGCTCGGTCGCTGCATGGTGCCCCACATGGATGTCGCCAAATGTCAGAAATATGACACACACTTCCAAATCTGCATGAATGTAGTAACGTACGGTGTGGGCGTGTGCCCACGCCACGTGAGCTGGCCTGGCCGGCGCGTTCCCAACCGCTTTGACCCACGCATAGCCGCCGCGTGCGCGTCCGCGACGCCGAAGCGTGTTTGAGCACGCGCGTGTGAACATCCGCCACCGTGCAAGACGGACCCCAAGACACACCCTGACAGGACAAACAACGCTGAAAACGCAGTATGATTCCGATGTTTCCTGCCTGTCGCGCGTTTTGCCCCAAAGATGTCCAATATCGCGTCAAGGCGGCCCCCACAGAGCCCCCGAAATCGCCCCAAACGGCAACACTTGGCACCCAAAGCCACGAAGTGCCGCCCAAATCGCCCGGGATGGCCCAGCAATGCCCGAAGATAAACTCCAAGATGCCCCCAAGACGGGCCCCAGAAACCACAAGATAGCCTCAGCGTTGCCTAGTATGGCCCCGGAGACCTCACCAGGGCCCGAGCTAGGGCCACAATGGCCCCGAAGCTGTCCCAATGTGGCCGCCGGATAGCTCAGTTCTGGGGGCAACAAATGCACAACAATGCCAACCAATGCAAAACAAAGCCACGGAACGCAAAGCAATGCCATGCGCCATGCGAACCAACGCAAAGCAACGCAGAGAAAGGCGAAGCAAGACAAACCAATGCACACGAATGCCAAGCAATGCAAATCAACGCAAAGCAATGAATGCAAAGCAAGTGCAAGCCCGAGCAAGCAAGCAATGTAATGGCGGCGACGGTCGGCGACAAGGCGGCAACAAAGCCGCTGGGCGGAGACGGCGGCAGCCGACAGACCGGCCCGCAGGCTCAGACGGGAAGCGGCGATGGGGCGGCGACGGAGCGGCGACGGCGACGACGTAGCCGCCAGGCAGGCCCTCACGCCCGGAACACGGGCGGCGACGCGGCGGCGACAGGGCGGCACTGCGACGTAGCCGCCAGGCAGACCCGAAGACCCAGCTCCTTGTTCCAGAAGTAGGACCCCTGAATGCAAACACTGTTTTGAGAGTATATACATGTACGTGCTTCGCGTGAGCGTGATCGTGGTCTTGTTTAGCAGCGCAGAGAATCCAATGCCATAGGCGCCGTGCAAATTGGAAGAGCAAGCCGAACATGTGCGTATGAATATACAGATAAAAGTACTGGTGCACATACATGCGCATATACGTACATCTACATTCACGTCCGAGTGAGGGGGACGAACAATTATTCACTGTCCCTGGGCGCGTGGCTGAAATTGGGTTCCGCGGTGCGGACTGTTTTTGCGTAACGTTCCGTTGCGTTGCGTTGTTGTCGTTGTCCATTGCGCGATCCGGCCCGCGATCCACCCGCGACCCGCCCGCGACCCACCCTAAACACACCCGCGACCAACCCGCGACTCAACCGCGACCCACCCGCGATTCACCCACGACCCTCCCGCGGCCGACCCGCGACCCACTCGCGACCCGCAAGCGACCCATCCGCGACCCATCCCGCGCCCGCCCCCTCTCTCTTACCCGCAACTGCGGTGTGCTACATAATGAGAAGGCGGACGCGGGGTGGGTCGCGAATGGGTCGCGGGAGGGTCGCGGGTGGGTCGCGGGTGGGTCGCGGGTGGGTCGGATGTGTCGCGGGTGTGTCGCGGATGGGTCGCGGGCGGGTCGCGGGTGGTTCGCGGGCGGGTCGCGGGTGGGTAGCGGGCCTGGTCGCGAGAGGGACGGCGACAACAACGCAACGCAACGCAAGAGATCATTCATTTATTCGTTGGCGGTAGCGCGTGTTACCCGGGGGTGGGGGCGCTGGCGGGGGGGGAACGGAAACGGCGGCCGCGGCGTGCATTCGCCAAGGTGCGTCCGAATCACCAGCACATCAACCGCCCGTGTGCACCACAACCCCTGTGCACACGACAATGCCAAACGCCTGCGTGCCAATCCCTGTGTACACGACAATGCCCAATGCCTGCGTGCAACACAGCGCTGCTTGCGTATGTTACACCAGTGTCTCCGTACACCCCAGCAGCCACGCGCACCACAAAACCACGCAGCCCGCGTGCACCACAGCGCCTGTGTACAATGCAGCATCCGCGTGCGCAACAGCGACTGTGTACACCACGGTGGTTGGCGTGGGAAGGGGTGGGAAGATTCGATAAAAAAGTGGGACGAGGCAGGGGGATGTGGGAAGAGGTGGGGGTGAGAGGAAAAAGGACGAGGCAATAACACCAGGGAGGACGACAAAAAGGAAGGGGGACCCGGGAGGAGAGAAAGGGGGAGGTGGGAGGAGATGGGAGGATGTGGGAGCGGCACGACTCGGGAGGACGTGTGAGGAGGTGGGAGAGCTGGGGAGGACGTGGGATGAGGTGGGGAGAGGAGGGGGGGGGAGTTGGGAGCAGGTGGGAGAAGAAGTACATGGAGGCGAGAGATGGGGAAGGACAGGAGACGCGGGGCGTCGGCTGTACGGTAGGTCCGAGTCGTGACGTTCTGGATTGGTTCCTAACACCGCGTGGACCGTTCGATATTGCATGGTTCGCTTGCGCAACCGGCAGCTCTCGATCCAATATTGAATCATGCTTTCGCACACAGAATCGTTTCTGAGAAACCTGGAGCCCGAAAGGTCACCTCCCCTCGGAGGCGCGTGGCAAGCTTGAACGCCCGAACTGGGGTCGCCGACGCGCCTTCTCTGCGCCAGCGAACCGTCTTCGGCCAGAGGCAACAACGGACGATAACGAGAGCTCGCAGGACCCCCCCCGCAGTGGTGCCACCAAGCGGTGAATATGATCTTTTCTGGCTCCCTTCCCCTTCCCACCTCACCAGTACACCACCTCCTAGTACCCCTCAATCGTCCTGTCCGTCCACTGATAGCCTTCTGCTGTACCGTAACGCATGCGTACACAAGAACGCCTGTGTACACCAGAGCAGCCGCGTGCACCGCAACGCCCAATGTCCGTTGGAAGCTGCAAGGATTCACGCTTTTGCCCGGCTTGCAACGTTATCGTTACGGTGGGGGGGATCTTGGCTGCGGCCACGCCTTCTGCTCGTTCCACAGATCAGCGGTTGGCCATGTTCGTCTCTCGATGGGACTTCTCTGTTTGCACGCATCCAGAAAGGTGGATCGATCGTCTTGGCATTTTCGCTTCTTGACTTTTCACTGCTAGTCAGAACCCAGTGGCGCGTCGGAGGAAAAGTGTGTATGTGTGTGTTGAGTCCTGGCGAATCCACGCACGCACTCACACGCACACGCACGCATTTGCAAGTGCACGGGCTGGCCCCTTGGATGCTGTGCTCTGAACTTGTGTGGGGCGCCCCGTGTCCAGACATCTGGAGTTCGAGTGCACACTCTTCCCTCGGACGCAGCAAAGGATTCACTCGCGGATATAAACTCAGGACTACACAATCGCTTACGCGAACACGTTAGATACAGATATGGCGTCCTGGAGGTTCTTCAAGCAACGCGTCTCCACTGTTTGGTGCCCTGGTGGGCCAGCAAGAGCTGCAGCATGCGTCTATGTGTGCCACCACCCCACGGCTTCCAAAGCAAATGAAAGTGACAGAAATCCGCCGACCATGTCGGCGTGTGGACCCCTTGCCGGCGTACGCTCAGTCGACGCCTCCGTTGTCCTCTTTCCCTGCGTCTCCGTCGTCCCCTTTCCCTGCACCCTCCTCTTCAAGCCTGCCAGCGAGAAAAAACCGTAGCAACGTCGCACTGCAGCCGAAGGGAAGCCCCTTCCCTTTGATCCCTCCCCCCCCGCCAGGGGGGGGGGTCCCGTGGGGGGTCCCGGGGAGGGCGGGGGTCAGATACGCATCCGCCCCTGGGCGTCTCGGAGCCCCAAAAAGCGCCAAGACGCGCCAAGTGTACCCTAAGAGGCCCCCAAGAAGGTCCAAGAGTGCCCCGAATCGCCGAACGTTCTGTCCAAGACGCCTTCACGGTTTCCAGACGGGTCGAGAGGCGCGCAAGACGCCCCCAGAAGCATCCGAGATCACTCCCAAGACGGCTCCCATGAGGCAACATTCATTGATTTCCGATGCGTTTTGAAACGAATTGGGCTTTCTGGCCTCGTCCGCTTCCCGACGATCCAAGCCGGCCCAAGAGGCTTGCATGAACACCTCGAGACGGCCCCAGAGGTCTCTAAGAGAGTCCCACAAATGTCCAAAAGCAGTCTAAGACAGCTCAAGACGCTCCAGGACGGCCCAAGCAACCCCCAGGAGCGCTCCAAGAGCGTGCCCAGACGGGTACGTGAACGGCCTCTTCGAGCCCTCGGGCCCAAGAGGCCCCCAAGAGGCCCCCAAGAAGCATCCAAGAGGCACTCAAGGAGGCCTTAGGAAACCCCCAAATGCCCAAAAGCGGGCCCCAAGAGGCCATCAATTACCCCCCATCCTCGCGCGCCGTCGAGCTCTCCCGGGCCGAAGAGGACCACGAACCGACATTTCGAGCTTCCCGCCCCAAGAAGCCCCCGGAAGGCCCCAAGAGCCCCTCAAGTGGACCGAAGAGGCCCCCAAGAGACCTCCAAGAGGCCCAACAGAGGCCCCAACAGGCCATTCAACCACAACCCAAGCACAGTGGCGGGAAGCGCCGCAGGCCACAAGGCTCACTGTCTGTCTCTGCTACGACTCCCTCGGCCCACATGGGGAACATCTCCTTCGCCTTCTTCTGCTCCCTTCCACCTTAATCCCCCTCCTCCTCCTCCTCCTCCTCCTTCTCCTCCTCCTCCTCCTCGCATTCGTCGTCGTCGTCTTCATGGTCGGCGGCACCGGCCGTAAGGCCTTCACAATACCCAAGGCGTCCCAATATTGCCCCAATACTGTCCCAACAGACTCCTACATGCCAACACTCTGGTGCTGGGGAGGCCCGAACACGTGAATACCACCACCACGTACGCAGATTGTTCACCGTGAGACCTGAATGTCGCCCGAATTGCTATCAACCTGACACGACACTGTCTCTAGAACGCTCTCATGGGCAAGACATATATGCCCTCCCCAAAAAATGACCCTAAACACGCCACTCAAAGATGCTTCAAACATGACCGACAAGGTCTGAAGACGGCCACACGGTGTCTCAAAGATAATGGCATCTCTGATGCCCCGGACTTTTCAAAAACGCATTCAAGATAACTTCTCGAATGCTGGAGTGGCCTGGCGCGGCGATAGAGCCCTCCGAACATGATGGCACGAGCCCCAAAACAACGCCAAACGAGAGGCGACGACACAACTGGAACATGAAGATACGCACCAAACAGACACATCCCCAACCAGCCGGTCAACAAGGAACAACTCATCCGTGAGGATCAGGTGTAGAGGGAGAAAGAGAGAGAAAGAGAAGGAGAAAGAGAGAGAGAGAGAGAGAACAATAACAAACAGAGACAAAGAGAGAAAGAGAGAGAGAGAGAGAGAACGAGAGAGAGAGAGAGAAAAGAGAGAGAGAGAGAGGCATGCGGCATAAGCGCGAACTTCCGGATCTCCGCGCGGATTTCTTGAATCGGCGCTGGGCCCCCCTGCATGATGCGCCGAGGGCGTCAAGGGAGGCGCCGGAGGTGCCGCCAGGAAGGGGCCCAGAGCCGATCCGAGAAATCTACGCGGAGCTCCAAAAGACGGGGGGCCGTTAGAGTTCAATCCTCACTCCAATTGCTGCCGAGTCAACCAGCGAGCCTGTCTGCACACGTTTTTCCTCGAGGCGCGTGGCGGCTTTTTTTTGTCCGACGAGCCCGCCATCGGAACAACAAGACCTGCGTGCGATCCGTGACCAGGGAAGGCGGAGGAGTAGTGGAAGAACGAGCAGCATTGACACATCCTGTTGGAACTCCACGCGAATTTCTACGATTGGCGCTGAACCTCACTGGCGGCGCCTCCAGCGCAACCCCTGGCGAGCTCCGCTCGCCAGGGAGGGGGTTCGGGCGCCGATCCAAGAAATCCGCGCGCAGCTCCAAACGTTCTTGTGTTTTGCGTTGTTTGATCTTCGAGACCTGTGGCCAGGGGAGGCGACACGGGCCAGCACACGCAATCCACGACCTGTATGACACTGATATGCCAGCACTTCCGGGTCTGCTCGGATCAGCAAGTCTGCAGCGGCCTCGACCAATTTCATGGCGCGTCCGTTGTACTGGCACGTGGTCTGGTTTGCCCAGATCTGGGCGACACGGTTCGAAATCCAGCTGCGAAAACAAGTCCGTCATCGCCCACAGCGGCCATCATCGCCGACGCCTGGTTCTAATAGAGGAAGAGAAATCTGCTTACACATCAACCTTCCGGATCTCCGCGCGGATTTCTTGCATCGACGCTGGGCCCCCCCTTCCCCGACGCGCCGAGCGCGCCAGGGGCAACGCCGAAGGCGCCACCTGGGGGGTCCACCGCCGATCCGAGGCACCCGCGCTGAGTTACGAAAGCTTCTGTTTATGCAGTCTGCTTCGACCAGACCAGCGGCCCTCGTAGCTCACCGCCGATTGTCCACGTCTCGGAGGAGGGCGAGCTGAGGTAACGGCAGCTCCACATCGGTCCCCGAACCCCTCTCGGGGTCCAAACGCACGAGCTTTCCGAGCTGCGCTTAGCCGCGGCGACGAGGGCCCCCCCCCGAAGGTTTGCTGTCCGCTCAACGGGAGCCTGCGTCGTCCCCGGCGCTGTCCGATGTGAGCCTGATTTGGACCGTATTTGACCAGAATTCCGAGGCGAATCCAGCGGTGGCGACGAGGGCCTCTCAGGAGGCCCAGAAAGGGGAGAACGAAGAAAGGGTAGCGGTATGGCATGGGTACCGCTTCCGCTTCTGAATGAGCGGACATCCACCGAATGTTACCGTTGCCTCAAGCCGCCCTCCTCTGAATGTCGTCGTCGGCGCATCTGCTTCGCCTCTTGGCCGCCTACCCAGGCCCTCCGCCGGACGCCTCCTCCGCGAGCTGGTCGAACAGCCTTCCGGGGAGCAAGTACAGTATCAATGACACGCCGCCGTGCCTGTAACTCAACAAGCGAAAGAGTACCGTGCTGCTGGGCTGCCAACGGCAACGTGTCGTTGCTACACTTTCTCCCTCCCGAGCCTCTCAATCGGCTCCCGGCACGCCTCCTTGATGCGGTCACGCCGCAGCAGCAGCTCGGAGGTCTGGAGGCCCTTCTCCTGGGAGAACTGCTCCAGCTGCAGGTGCAAGGCGCGCGGCTGCTCCTCTGGAGGAAGAACCATCGGCGTGAACATAATGCTTTGGAGCTCCGCGCGGATGTCTTTGAAGGGGCCCAAGGACACACAAACCAATGCACATAAATAACAGGACTCCCAATATTTGTTCCATATATTTTTGAAGTTTCGTCTTCCCCCCCACTTCCCATAGTTTCCCATATTTTCTGGGGGATCGACGATTCATTGTGCCCGTGTGTGTTTTTTCCCTCCCCAGTCTTGGATCCGCGCCTCTCCTCCGCCGAGACGCGCACCATGGGCAATGAATCACGAGAACCTGGTCGCCACGGCTGGACGCAGCCTGGGAAACTCGTGGGTTTGGACCCCAGGATGGGTTCGGGGACCGATTTCGAGCTGCCGTGTTCTCAACTCTCCCCCGCGTGTACGTGGAGTACGGGCTGTGAACTGCGAGAGCCGCTGATGTTGGCCGAAGCTGGAGCTTCGCGCGGATTCCTTGGATCCGCGCTGCCAGCCCCCACCCCTCCCTGGCGCACGGAGAACGCCAAGGGTCGCGAGGTGGACCAGGGCCGATCCGAGGAATCCGCGCAGGGCGTCAAAGTGTTTATGCTTATGTTGTATCGTTTGCCGTTGACCGCGGGTGCAGAGCGCGCGCTGCTGCTCCTCCTCAAGTCCTGGCCCAATCGTCGATCGTGCGAGAAGGCGTTCCCCAGACCCCTCTGGGGGGATCCGTCCTGGCCAATCTCCCGAGGCGGATCCAGCCGTGGCGGCAAGAAGCCTCGGGGCACACAAAGAGCAGCACCGCCAACGAGGGCCGGCATTGCCTCGACTCCGACCTGGCTTTCCGAGGCGGATCCAGCCTTTGCGGCGAGAAGCCTCCAGGAGGCCCAGAACGAGCAGATCCGCCAGCCAGGAGGCCGCCGTCGGCTCGGCTGGCCCTCGTGAGTGCCCGTGGGGAACCCTTTCCGATGCCTCTTCGGGCAAAGTGTATAATGTCTTGGCAACGTTTCGGACCGTCTCGAAGCCATCTTGAAGGCCCTCGATCAAAGAAGGGGCGCCTCCTCAGCGTTGCCCCTCCAGGGCGCAAGAATGGGCCCACAGCCTAAACAACAAACAGTCCTGTGTTGCCTCCCAACCTCCTGCTCCTTCTCTTCCACCGACGTCCCGTCCTCCTCCTCCTCCTCCTCCTCCTCCTCCTCCTCCTCCTCCCCCTCCTCCTCCCCCTCCTCCTCCCCGCAGCTGGCATGCTCGGCGCCCCACGGAGGAACACAAAAAACCCTCCTCCTCCCCCCCTCCTCCTCCTCCTCCTCCTCCTCCTCCTCCTCTCCTCCTCCTCCTCCTCCTCCTCCCCCTCCTCCTCCTCCTCCTCCTCCTCCCTCCTCCTCCTCCCCCTCCTCCTCCTCCTCGTCCCGAGCCTGCTCCTGGTCGGTTTGCCTCCCCCGATCCTCCTCGGGCACCCCAAGCTGGCTGGCGAGGCCCCGGAGCTCCCCGAGGCAGAACGCCCGCACCTCCGGGCTTCGGCAGAGCTGCTCCGCGCTGGCGTCCGCGAGCAAGTGCCTCCTGCCAGAGCGGTGTTACATCCGCAGGCGATCACGGGCGGTTCCAGGGAGGGGTGGGAGGGGGGGAGCGAGGATGGGGGGGCACCAATAACGTCACGCTTCGCGCCACTGCCGTGTGGGCATGTCTAGGAATGACGATCAATCCGGACGTAAGCACGAATCGTGACGCTCCCTCGGGGGGGGGGGCGGGGCCAGTAACGGCCGCAACCGCGAACGATTGAAAAATGCGAGGAAGAACCAAACCCCGCGTACGCTCAATGCGACCACGCGATTAAAGACAAATCGGGCCTGGACGGCTGAATAAGTAACATATATCTCGGCGGGGTTGCTGACAGCGGACGACGACAAACCCGGAACAACTTGTCCATCGTCCACTTCCCAGTGGGGCGCTGCGACCCTCCCCTGGGCACTTCTGAATCGCTCGGCCGCGAGGAACCTTCGGAGGTCCGCGAGGACTTCTTGGATCGGTGCTGGCCCACTCCCTGGGGCGCGAACCCTGAGATATGGGTGCTGCACTGTCGTCACACTGGGCGTTTTCTCCAACTTTCGGGCCCTGGGACCACCACTGATCGATACAGCTCGAGAAATTCGACAGGAAGACTGGGTCCAGGGCTCCAGTGGTGACGATTCGCGATTTTGCATGCTCCTTCGCAACGCCGGACCTCAGGGGAGGGGAGCGCTCCAGGGGCGGGGCCAGAGGCACTGCCAGGGGAACCGAGCTCAGATTCAACAAATCCGCGCGGACCTCCGAAAGTTTACACGGCAGTTGGGGGCGTGACGACCCCGGCGTTGGTTTCTGACACTGCGTGGATCGTGAAACCTTGAACGACGGGCGGCTCTTCGATCGCCAAATCGGGATCGTTCCACGTGGGCCAATTCTGGGCCACTGGCGGCGTTCAAACTTGAACTCCCGTGGTGGGGAAACTGCTGGAGCTCCGAGCAGATTTCTGGGGTCAGCGCGGGGCCCAAACCCTTAGGAAGGAACTCGTGGGAGGTCTTCGCAAGAACGACTATTGACGAAGGCCCGATTAAGCGGGCATGTAACAAGATTAACCCAGATTCAGCTCGGGGTTAAGCCGGATTGAGCGGGATCGAACAGGACCGTGACTTGAATCATGCCAGTGTCCCAACACGGATCTACCAGTGCGGGTGCTGAATTTGACGAGATGCGTGCCAGCCTCCCTGGCGCGCGGAGCGCGCCCACGAGGCCAAGCACAAATCCAAGAAATCCCATCCAAGGAACGCGTATACCAGGCCGCTCACGGCGACAGCACAACCGAGAACCGGCCGAACCGACAGCGGAATCGGCACTCACCGAAGTCGACAGGCCGCATGCAGCCCAGAAGAGCGACGCGACGCGGCAACGACACGATAACCGACTGGAGCGACGCCCACCGAACGCAACCGACTGCGACGCAACCGAACCGACCGAACCGCGAACACCGTGGTTGCGCGTTGATGCCTTGTTTGCTTCTCCGATCCTGGAGGCGAGGCGCCACAGGTGCTCCAGCTGCACGACGCCCAGGCCGACCACGCCGCGGTCCCCGCGCGCGGTCAGCATCAGCTGCAGCAGCCTCGGGGGCAACGGTACAGTCTGAAGGGGCCCTGGGACACACAAGTAAATACACACCAATAAACAGATTCCCCATATTTTCGCATATTTTCGGAGTTTCTGTTTTCCCCCCCACTTCCCATATTTTCCCATATTCTCCTGGGAGTCGACGATTAATTGTGTCTGTGTGTGTTTTTTCCCTCCTGACAGTCGGGCTTCTGAAGCAAGGAGTGATACATAAGGAACGAGGCCTTCTTGTGGCACCAACGGCGCCCGGGAGCACGAGGAGGGCTAGGGGGACAGCCGCGCGAAGCAACCTCAGGAACAGCGAGCCCCTTCCGAACACTCAAGGCGGTCCTTATCTCAGCGTCTTGACTCTCGGGAGCGACCCAGCTCAATTCGGGAGCGGCCAAGACGGGGGTGTCCAAGAAGGGGGGGGTGCAAATCATGACCGGCGGCATGTGCGCGGCCCAGCGGGGGGGCCAGGGACGTAATGAAACAAGAAGAGGCGCCGCGAAATCTGGGGAGATATCGTGGCCCCCGCCATGATATCCCCCCCCCCCAATCATCACCCCCCTCTTTTCCGCCCCCGATCAATGGACGAAGAGACGTCCACCCGGCATCGGCGACCCCTCGCCGAGGGATCGGCGATCGGCCGCCGATAGCAGAAATCCGCACGCTCCTGGGCGGGGTGAGCTATCAGGCCCCTGTCGGCGATCAATGGGCGACTGGGGGTCGATGCGTTCCCCCCCTGGGCCCATCCCACCCGGGCCAGAACCTGGCTCTCCACAGCCGTTCGGGACGGTCCCCGCACCTGGGGAGCCCACTCGGCGCGGCGCAGCTGCGGGAATGCGCCCGAGGCCGGAAGACCGACCTGCACCCACGGAAACGTCCGAGAACAGGGCTGAGCCTAAACGGTGTTGTTCGTTTTCGTGTTGTTTTCGTCTTCCCTTGTTTTGTCTTCAATCCGCCTTTACCGCAAAACCACATCGAAACGAAAACGGCCCACGAAATCGCCAAAACACCGTTGAGGTCCAGCCCTGTCCGAGAACCTCGAACCTGTTCTGAGCCGATCTCCCCCTGACTCGGAGGGCGAGTTGAGACAACGGCGGCTAGGCATCGGTCCCTGGACCACCCCCCGCTGAGCCGACCCCGCCAGCCACGGCACGGAGGGCGAGGAGCACAGGAGCTGCTCCAGCGCGTCGCACACGACGCAGCCCGAGGGCGCCATCTCGAGGGAGCCCGTGCGGCCGAGGACGTAGACCGTCTCCTCGCGCAGTGCCAGGGGTAGAGGAACAAACAATGACTATGACCGCGCGGACTTCTCGGATCGGCGTTGGACCCCCCTCCCTGGCGCGCGGAGCGCCCCAGGGGCAACGTCGAAAGCGCCGCCAGGGGGGCTCCAGCGCCGATCCGAGAAATTCGCGCGAAGCTCCGACAGTTTGTTTCTGAATCTCTGTTAGTCTCCGAAAGGGGCTTCTACCACTGGGGGGATCATCCTCCCGAGGATCGATGTTGTTCGGGGTCGTTTTGGAGGGCTCTGAAGCGTTCCTCGGGGCCCATTTCCTTGAAGACATGAGCGACGACGAGAAGCGGGTCGTACGCGAGAGTGCAAAGCGACCTTACGCCGCGGCTTACGCGGGTCGCCAGCGTGGCACACCGCATGAAGAGGAGGACGATTCCGCGCGACCTCACGCGGAAGCTTACTGCGCGAATGTCCGCGCAGTCCACCCAATTTTTCTCTGTCGCTCAAGTGGCCTCTCCTCGAGCAAGAGGCGCCCCCCGAGGGACAGACTCGGGCAGGCTGAACTCGGCCTGCTGAAATCGGCCAGGCCGAACTCGGCCACGATGAACTCAGCTGACCGAGATCAACCTGGTCGAGCCCAGCTGACCGAAATCACCTCGGCCGAGTCCAGCTCACTGAGTTCAGCCTGGCCGAGCTCCTCCTGCCCGAGTTCCATTCACGCCTGGTTGTGACCGCAATGACCTCCCTTGGCAAGGCCTGGGTCTCCTCGCAGCACAGGCCGACCACCCGTGGGCGCATGACCTCCATGGCCGCGCCCTCGTCGGGCGGCGGGCCGGCTTCCAGCGGCGTCGGGGCCCACTGGCTGCCCCTGGATCTGCCAGCAGACCTGGGGAAAAACCGAAAGGCACCGCTACCGCTGCGGGCACGGAGTGCTGGGCCGGAAATCAGCGCCCTCGAGAGTCCAGCATGCTGCTCCCCATCATCCTCAATCGATCGGTGCACTGCACGGTGCACTCTGCAGGTGTCTCAAACAGAAAAAGAGCTTGAAGGCAACCGCTTGAGGCAGCAGACCAACTGCACAGTGAAACTCGCTGATCGGACATGACTCGAGACGTGGGCCGACGTCTGCACAAACACGGGTCGGCCAGGGCCCCGCCTCACCACCCACCAAACCACCCCAACCCAACCCGAAGGCTCAGATTTACCCTCGATTTCTAGTGGGGGGGTCGGGAACCATCGACAAAAACACGCGTGGAACCCTTACCCCCCCCAACCCGAAACTCGGGTCTCGGGTTGGGCTGGGGTGGTCTGGTAGGTAGTCACCGCCGCGAGCCCAGGCCGGCAACGGCGCAGCTCCCCAAACCCGGGCCGGCGGAGGGCAGGCCGGGGGAAAGCGGCCCACGTGGCTCCCAATAGCCGAGCTGGCGCCGACCCCCGCCGCGCGAGCCCCGACCGCCGCTCCCCGGGCTTCTCCAAGGGGCGCGGCGTGACCCGCAGCTCGAGGCGAGTCCGGCCGTGGAGGCGAGGGCCTCCCAGGCGGCCCAGAGAGGCAAAAACGAGGGAGGGGCATGGGCGTCGGTGCCTCTTCCTCCTTTCGACGAAAGGAGGAAGAGGTACCGACGAAAGGCCACCTGAACGACGTTCAGGTGGCGGCACCCGAGCCCTTCCCCCGCCAGCCACCGGCCCAAAGAGGCCAACACGAGGGAGGGGCGGGGTAGCGGCATCGATACATTCCCCTCCCCCAGAAGACAGGCGATGAGGCAGCGACCGGACGACACCTCGGAGATCTTCTGACCCAGGTCTATCCAGACCCTGGTCAGTCAGGCCTTGCAAAATCCTGCAAAATCCTGCAAGAACTTGCACCCAAACCCGGGTCAATGCGAAGGATCCTGCAGGATCCTGCACCCAAACCCGGGTCAATGCGACCCTGGCCCTGCAGGATCCTGCAAGATCGGGTGCTCTGGCTGACCCCCGTTTGCATTGACCCCCGCCTCTTGAGCCCCGGGCACCCTCGAGCCCTCAGATCCGATGTCGTGATTTTTTCACTACGCGGTCCTCCGAAGTCTAGACCTACTCCCCAGGACCAATTTTTCATCCCGAGTCGTTTTGTTGACGGTCCCGGGGCCCGGCGAGTGCCCTTAGAGGCCGAACATTGAGAAAAACCTCCGTCTTGATTTTGTTCGATGCGTTGGATCTCTGGGAGCAGCGACGAGCTCCCGGAGGACCTCCAGCGACGCCTCAGATCTCCACGGCTCATCTCGAAGCTGCCGCGCACCCGCATCGTGCCGGCGCGCAGCCTCTGCGCCCCAGGGGCGCAGCAGTTCTCCAGCAGGTCGCCCCTCTCCTGACCAGCCTGCAGCTCACCCCCTATCCCTGAGATGGTTGGCGGCGCGCACAAGGGGGGGGTGGAGGGAGGGGGGGGGGCTTCTTAGAAGGAGGCTGCTTCTCAGAAGGCGCCGGCCTTACATCTGTAGATAAGCCCGCGCCTTCTAAGAAGCAGGGGTGCTTCTAAGAAGCCCCCCCCCCCCCCCCCACCCCCCTCTGCGCGTGGCTGAGATGGGCACGCCCAACGAGGTGACGAGTTCAGGAATATGCCCTCAGGAGCTTGGCGAACCCCCGAGACCATCGGCACCGAGAGAAGGTGACGCTGACTCCAGCGATAGGGAAGAGCTTCAGGCTGGCGCTAATCCTGCACGAACTCTATGTAGACACCGGGCAGAGCCCGCCCCACGGCGAATGCCTCGAGCGCCCCTCCGAAGTAGGGCGCCTCCCCGAGGGTGGCCAGCCCGCCAGCCTCCGCGAGCACAAGGCACTTGAGGACCCGGCACCCGAACACTACCCGCAGCCACAAGCAAACCTTCGGGTCCCCCCCGAACCGTGTGGTGACGGACCACGTCGTGGCCCGGGAACCCACGACGACCTCACCGCGCGCTGCGTCACCAGGCTGAATTGGGACCCTGGCCCTTAGTGGGCCCTGGTTCCGGCTACGGCTCCAATCCCAGAGCTGTTTCTGTTGCCGTTTCCGGCCGCCGCTTTTTCGCCATTTCCACGTTCAAGAAACATTTTCTCGGAAACGACGAGAAACGGCCCTGTCGTTTCCGGGGCCCACCAAGCCCGGGAGGCCCTCCGTCGTCCGCGACACCCTCGGAGCACGGCCCGAGCCCCGCCGACGCACCACGCGGGGTGGTCACCACGCGTAGCGGATGGGGCCGTAGCGGATGGGGCCGGAGGGTCGCGCCGCATCGTCGATGCATCGGCGACGTCGGCGATGCATCGGCGACGTTGGCGCGGAGAAGGTCAGGCTCCTTATCGAGCCGCATCGCCGATACATCTGCGATGCGGCGCAATCCACCGACCCATCTGCTCGGACCCCGCCTGGGAAGCCTAGAAAGACTCCGTCCAAGAATTGCCCGAGTCCTACAACCTTGCGGTGACCCCGAATCCCCACTGACTCACCACGCGGTGTGGTCACCACGTCGGGGGGCCCTCGAGAAATCGCTACTCCCTGGACTTTGCCCAGAAGGCGTTCTGACCTGGATTTTGAAGCGAATCCAGCCATGAAGACGAGGGCCTCCCAGGAGACCGAAGGGTCAGAACCGAGGGAGGGGCAGCGGTATCGGTACGTCTTCTTCAAAGAACGGAGGTCTAAGCGGACTTTGGGCTCGGCGCTGGAGCCTACTGGCGGCGGATCCGCGCCAGGATGGCGCGCTCCGCGCGACAGGGAGGAGGGTCAAGCGCCGATCCAAGAAAGCAGCGCGGACCTACTACAGTGTACGTTTCTGCCACTCTTGGTGCCTCAACTTTTCATATTTTCCTGATTCGATTCTCCTGATTCGATTGGACGAAGGATTGCAAAAAAACCTGATCGAAGGATTGCAAAAAAACCCTGAACGAAGGATTGCAAAAAACCCTGAACGAAGGGTTTATTTGCAATCCTTTGTTTTTTTTGCAATCCATCGATTCTCCTGATTCGATTGGAGGCGGGGGCATGGCTCGGATTTCGCCACGCCGTACTCCCGCCGACAGTCTACCTGCCTGGGTCGTGGATCGGCGAAGGCAGGGCTCGGATTCCGCCGCGACTCTTTCTCGGGGACTCTTAAGGGTGTGGTTTGCAGAGGGTGTGGTCTGCAAACCGCGCCTGAAGGGGCGGGCGAGGACCTCGACAGAGACCTCTGCCGTGCCCCGACGACGGCTCGTCAAGCCTCTGGCGCAACGTGGTGGCCCCCAAGAAGCCCAAACGACGCCGATCGCAAACGGCACCCCGGGGTTACCGCACCCATTGTGGCCGCCGACATTTTGGACGCCCGAAATGGGTACGGAAAGAATGGGTACAATGCCCAACAACAAATGCTGTCCCAAACCAACAGCGGCCGCTGTTGGGCAGGCGGCCTTCTGTCTCGAATGAACACAGGCCGCGGCGGCGTGGACAGCGAGTCCTGTTCAAAATGAACGAGATCCACTGTTGGCCATTGTACAAATTCTTTCCGTGCCCATGTCGTTCGTGCAGAGACATGTCCTCCCCTTCGCCCACCTCCGGCGGCATCGCGACGGACCCGGGGAAGCAGAGGGCCAGCACGAAACGCGGCTGGCTGCGCCGGCCCAGGAGCGCCGCGCGCGCCTCCCGGAACGGGGCCGTCAGCCAGCCGCCCACGCAGCCCCCGAGGCACAGCCGCGCCAGCCTGCGCCTGGGCCCGGGCTCCGCCTGCAGAGAGCCCACAATAGAACTGCACAGTCCACGGCTCGAGCTAAGCAGTGCTTTTCGTGCTCGTTTTGGCGTTCGCTTGCCCCCGTTCTGTCCTTGATCCACCCTTGCGTCCAGAAAGAAGCTGACTACCTACCAGACCACCCCAACCCAACCCGAAGACCCGAATTTCGGGTTGGGGGGGGCAAGGGTTCCATACGTGTTTTTTCGATGGTTCCCGACCCCCCCCCCAACTGGAAATCGAGGGTAAATTTGAGCCTTCGGGTTGGGTTGGGGTGGTTTGGTGGGTGGTGAGAAGCGGGCTCCACAGGGTTCTCGCCTGGCGTCGGGACCGTCAAGAAGCGACTCGGGATCTCAAGCCCGGCCCGCGGCGAGGGTCGGGGCTTCCGAGGCCCGCGCGCACGGCAGAAACGTCAACTGTTGACGCTGACACTGACACTTTGGGGGTATTTGCATCGCGCCACTTTGGGGGTATTTGCATCGCGCCACTTTGGCAGCGTAATTACTGCTCCCTGGGTGCTGGTCCTTGGTCGTCAGACTCCCTGGGTTGCAGCACCCTTGCACCCGCCGCCCCGGCGCCGGCCGCGGCCCGCGCGCGCGTCCGGCCAATTAGATTCGGCCGCAGCCCGACCGTTACTCGCCGCCGCTGGCGCTTCCGCCCGCGGCTGTAACAAAAAAACACGTATCGGCACCAGCCTCTCTCTCTCTCTCTTCCTCTCTCTCGTGTGCAATTTAAATAATTTAGGCTCCTGCTGGCTAGCGGTAGCTCTGGACGGCGCGCGGCCTTTCCGTTTGCGCTCGCGATCAAAAAGTATCCCCACCAGCCCATCCAGAAACGATGCCCAGGGGAGTTGAGGTGATCAGGGGAGTGGGGGAGCATGCAGAAGAACAAAGGGCGGGGGAAGCAATCATATACCCCAAGAGGGGGAGGATGGAGAAGGAATCGTCGTCGTGGCTGTCGTCGTCGTCGTCGTCGGAGGAGGAGGAGGAGGAGGAGGAGGAAGAGAAGGGGGAGGAGATATCAAGCCCGCCCCGGGGCGAGGGTCGGAGCTTGCGAGGGCCGCGCGCACGGCAGTCGACGTAGATTCTGTCGGAGGCCCGCCTCTGGGCCCCCCTCCCTGGCACCGATTTAACATGTATCAGAGGCCCGGGTCAGCGCCCCTCAAACGGGGACTCCGCTAACGGGTACTTTGGCCAGTGACCCAGCGAACCCAACCCTCCCCGATGTGGGCAAAGCCGCAATGCAAGGAAAAAGGCCCTAAAGTGGCAACTTTCGGCAAAACTTCAAAGTACCCGTTAGTAAGTACCCATTACGGTGCCGTTGACCGGGCCACCGGTTTCATTCACCGGGATTCCCCGGGCGTGTCGCGCGCGTCCGCAGGTAGCGCAGCCGGCCAAACATGGGCGAACAAAGCGCGCAAGAAGGCCGCATAAGTTTCCGAGAAGGCCCAAGAGTGCCCCAATGCGACCATGACGGCCTCACCGCGGCCCAAGAGGCTCCGAAGACGTCCCAAGAGTGATCCAAGAGGCGTCCCAAGAGGATCCCAAGAGGCAAAAATCGTTGAGTTTTCCATCACATTCCTCGCCTTTTCGGCTTTCCGAAGCTCCAAGTCGGCCCACGAGGCTCCCAAGATCGCCCCAAGACATCCCCAGAAGCGCCCAAGAGGGCCCCACGACGGCCCAAGAGGGCCCCACGACGGCCCGAAAGGCGCCCAGGACGGGACCCGAGCGGACACTTTGAGCCCCCGACCCCGAGGGCCCCCTAGGATGCCCCAAGGGGGCGCCAACAAGCCCTCAAAAAGCTCCCAAAGGCTCCCGAGACGTCCCAAAAGGCTCCCAAGAAGGCCCCCAAGAGGCCCAAAAACTGCCCACAAGAGGCCCCAGAGAGCGCCCAGAAGAGACCCGAAGAAGCATCCCTGAGAACTTTGCCCCACAACCCAGGCGCGGTGGCGGGATGGGCCGAAGGCCACTGGATCCGCCGCCCCCTGTCAATTCATCACCGGAGGGCCTGGCATGCTAGACGATTTCGGTTTTAGTCTTTTTCCAAGAGAACTCCCCCTGGGGCTTCGGCCCGTCCCGCCGGGGCCCCGGGACGATCTTCAAGGAGCTCAATTCCCGGAAAAATCCTCCAAGACGGCTCAAGATGGCCTCCAAGATGGCCACGTTGGCCCAAGATGGCCTCCAAGACGGTCCCAGATGGCCTCCAAGTCCGCCCAACATGGTCCAAGACGGCCTCCAAGACGGCCTCAGAGAGTCCAAGATAGCCCCAAGTTCGCCGAAGAAGCCTCCAAGACGCCTCCGAGACGACCCAAGAGGCCTCCAAGAGGCCCTCCAGGAGGGCCCGAAGAGGCCACAAGCATTGAATTTCCTTAGGTTTTTGAAGGACTTTGAAATTCGCATCGCCTCGGAATTCCTACGGCTCAAGACGGCCCAAGAGGCCCCCAAGATCGCCCGAGAGGCCTCCAAGAAGGGCCGCATGACGGCCCAAGAGGCCCCCAAGACGGCCCCCAGAGCGCCCCAAGACGGGCCAGGAGGCCTCCAAGACGCCCATGACGGCCCTCAAGACAGCCCCCAGAGGGCCCCAAGACGGGCCAAGAGGCCTCCAAGACGCCCATGATGGCCTCCAAGACGGCCCCGAAGCGCTCCATGAGGGCTCCAAGCCGGTTCAGAGAGGCCCCCAAGACGGCTCCCGACGGCGTCAGACGGGCCAGGAACCCACCAAGATGGCCGAAGTTGGCTTGAAGCTGGCCCAAGAAGGCCCAAGAGGCCTCCAAGAGGGCCTCCAGGAAGGCCAGAAAAGGCCCAAAGCATATATTTTCCGTAGGTGTTTGAAAGCTTTTGGCATGTAGTTCTTTTCGGCCTTCCGACGGCCCGAGACGGCCCAAGAGCCCCCAAAGAAAGCCCAAAGATCGCCCAAGCGGCCCCCAAAACGGCCCCAAGAGGGCCCCAAGACGGCCCAGGAGGCCTTTAAGCCGCCCAAGATGGCCTCCAAGACGGCCCTGGACCATTCCAAGAGGGCCCCAAGTCGGCTCAGAGAGGCCCCCAAACCGCTTCCAACGGCGTCAGACGGGCCAGGAGCCCACCAAGATGGCCGAAGATGGCCCTAAAATGGCCCAAGACGGCCCAAGAGGCCTCCAAGAGGGCCGCCAGGAAGACCCGAAAAGGCCAAATCATTGATTTCCCATCGGTGTTTGAAGGATTGTGGCACATGTTTTTGGTCGGCCTTCCGACGGCCCGAGACGGCCCAAGTGCCCCCAAAGATCGCCCAAGAGGCCCAAGACGGCCCCAAGAGGTCCCCAAGAGGGCCCAAGAGGTCTCCAAGACGCTCAAGATGGCCTTCAAGACGGCCCAAGAGCCCTCCAAGACGTCCTCCAAGAAGGCCCGAAAGGACAAAGTGGCCTCCAGACGGCCAAGCTGACCTTCAAGATGCCCACGTGTTCCCCGAAGGCTTTCCAAACCGATTCGGGGAACACATGGCCCGACAGCTTGCAGGTCTGGCCTCAATGTTCGGCCACATAGGCGCTTCCAAAAAGGCAGGGGGCGGCGGTGATTCGCCGTAGGCGTCTTCGATATAGTCGACGAACAAAAACATAGTCTGGTGTGAATCAGTTTTGTAGTCGTTCTTATACTCGAACGGTTATGCTGCGGGTTTTCTTCTGCGAGCCTGGGCGTTCTGAAGGGCCCAGCGCTGGATGCCGAAGCGGAAGCGCGTCAAGGAGCTCTCGTGCAGGGCTCGCACGTTCTGGATCTGCGCGCCCAGGAGGCTTGGCGTGCCCACGATGAAGGTCGGCCCGAGCTCCCGGATGTCCTCCAGCACCTTCGGGGAGCGCACGCCCCCGTAGAAGCCTACCGCCCCGCCCACCGCCAACACGGCGTGCACCACCACTCTCTCCCCGAAGAACGCGGGGGAGCTGGCAGAGGAAGAAAGCGAGCCAAAAAACATAAGTTCTCGGAGGGCCGCGAGCGGTTCTCGGATCGGCGCCGACCCCCCCTCCTGGCGCGCCAATGGGGGGCGCGGAGGTCTGGCGCAGATCCGAAGAATGAGCGCGAACCTCCGAAGGTTTATGCTTACACTGTTGTTTTCTTCTTCGAGCTGTAGCTGAAGTGAATGTCGGTGTGGCTGAGAGGGAGCTCCTTGGCGACACGGTTGGACGCCATCATCAACGCTCCCAGGGACAGTGTCACCTCGACAGGCTGCGAGCTCTCGCCGAGGCTGCTGCGATACATGGTCGTATAGATATGGTGGCCACCGATGCCAATATACGGAACCAGACCGGCAACCTTGCCAAAGTGCGAGATGAAATTCATGCTGAAGACTTGCAGGCCGAAAAACAAGGCCTCTGCCACCAGGTCGGTGGGCATGCCGCCCGAAAATATGATCATCGGGAACCTGGGAATGGGACCGTCCTTGTTGCGGGCGCACTGCACGTAGTGCTCCAGCCACGTCATGGAGCATACGAGCAGCTCGCACGGGGCCTGAGATACGCGGACATTCAGGAGCCCTGGCTTCCCAAGCTCACTGTCAAGCAAGCTGGGATCGCCGTGGACACCGTTCACTTCGATGATCCTGTCGCCCACGTTCACGGCCCTCTTCGGGTTGGCCAAATTCCACGCGGCGATGGGGCTGTTGGGTTCGACTGATCTGACGAGAAGAGTTCCTCCATCGGTCGCGTCTTTGCCGATGCCTAGTGGCCGCCCATCGAAGCACTCGATCCCGATCTCGAACTCGCAGCTCTTGGGCGGATCCTTCATGCACATCGTGTTGACCCCGCAGCGCATCAGCGCGAGGTCGCAGATGAGCCACTCGGGCTGCGCGTTGCCCAGCAATCCGACCTTTGCGTTGCGCTGCAGCCCAAACTTCCGGATGAGCCCCGAAGAGAACCTCAGGACCTCTTTGAGCGCCCGAAAGGAGTACGGACAGATGGGTAAACAACACTCGTCGCCCCACACCGACAGCGGCCGCTATTGGGCAGGCGGCCTTATGCATTTCGTGGGCCACGTCCGCGGCGATGACGACAACGAGTCCTGTTCAAAATGAACAAGAACTGCTGTCGGTTGTCGTTTCCAGTCTTTCTGTGCTGATTTCGATCGTACCGAACCTCGCTCTGGACCTCCCTGTAGGTCATCCACTTGTACTCGTTGGCTGGCGGCACCCTCTGCCCCAGGCAAGGCCGATTCGCGAAATACTCCCTGGTGTTACAAAAGTCCTCCCACGGACTGCTCGCGACGAAGCGGAAACCCCCCAGCTCCGCGACCTTGGGAGGAAATCAAATTATAATGGCATGAACATTTACTGGGATCTGCGCTGAACCCCCTGGCGGCGCGCTCCGCGCGCCAGAGAAGGGGTGCCGGCGCCGATCCAAGAAATCCGCTAGGAACTCCGAACATGTGTTTACGCCGCTTCCCCAAGACCTCTCAAAATCGGTTCCCAGACCCCGCCCTGGGTCCATCCTGACCCGTTCTTTGGTGCGGATACAGCCGTTGCGACGAGAAGGCAGCAGGAGGCAAACCGCTTGCGAGGGCCGCCATGCTCCGGATATGCATGTTCAATGCGATGTGTTTGTTGCTCGAGAGCCTCCTCGCTCTGGCCTGCCGCCAGGAAGAGGCGCCAAGAACACTACAGGGCCTTCCAAGATGATCCCAAAAATCCGAAAACCTCCTCGAGCGTCTATCCTGGAACATCGAGATCCATGAGGGATGCGTGACCCCCTGGAGATTTTCTCTGATGATTTGCCGATGGCCGTCGATACCCGCGGGGGGGCCAGGTCACGGTAACGGTTGGGCAAATTGGGGCACGTCGAGGCGGGGGTGCGCACTGCCATCGCAACTGGATGCGCGCAAGCACCAGCATGTGAATGCCTCCCCCCACACGTACGACCTCGGGGATCTTCTGACCCGGGTCTATCCAGACCCGGGTCATTCAGGCCTTGCAGAATCCTGCAAGATCCTGCAAGGTCCTGCACCCAAGCCCGGGTCAATGCGCAAGATCCTGCAGGATCCTGCACCTCAACCTGGGTCAATGCGACCCCGGCCCTGCAAGATCCTGCAGGATCGGGCGCTCTGGCTGACTCCCGTTCTGGCCATCGCTCGGACGTCCATTCCCTGTGCTTTTTTCGGTTTCGTGCGTGGTTACTTCGCCATATGATCAAGGATGCTCCTCGATGGTCCTCGCCGAAGGAACAGTGCACACGTCCGAGCGATGCCAAGCGTTTGCATTGACCCACGTTTCAAGGCTCCCGACGATCGTTGCTGTTACCCGGCCCGGGCAGCGCGTTGCGCGCCGGAGCACAAAAGTCTGTGTCTGCCCTGGAAACTCGGATTCCAAGGTGAGCCCGTGGCCCCCCTGGCGGTGACCCCTGCCGTCGTCCGGGCCTTCACTCCCCGTGCCTTGTCTGGTGCGGGCGTTGGTAGAACTGGGTTTAGTGGAACCTGGTTCAGTAATCTGTACCGGGGGCGCGCCCCCGTCCCATTTCCACTAACCGGAACTGCTGTCACCCGCAAAAAACACCAGCTATCGCAAACCTGATTTGGTGATTCTGGCCAATTCGAAGGCTCCGGGGCCCTACCACTAACCGGGTCCCCTTACCCGGGGTCCTGGCCATACCCGACTGGTTTCGTGCGCGATTGGTAAACATTTGCTGGCGCCGGCCTCGCCGCGAGAAACATGTACGCGTCCGTGCGATGCCAGGGAGGGCGGGACGCACGGGAGGTGGAGATCGCTGCGCGCCACGCGCCGACCGCGGTATTGCGAACGTGGGGGAGGCTTCGTTCAGGAGCGGTCAGAAGGAGGACAACGGAAATCCAGAAGAAGGGCCCGACGATAGGGGCCGAAAAGCGAAGCATTCAAGAAACGATGGCCTTCGGCCTCTCCGACCGCCTTCGGGGGCCCGAAGCGAGATTCTGACGCCCTTTGGGCGTGGGTTCAGAGGCTTTGAGGTGGCGGGGTCGGTGGTGCAATTTCTGCCGCAAGAGCTACAACACGTGAGGGTAAAAGCGCGCCAATACTGCAACGGGTGTGACAGGTGGAGAGCTTTACCACCAACCTGCTGGGGACTACGGAGAGGGACAAACTCGGGCCCATGGGTTCCTCCCACGCAGCGAGCCTCACACATCTGAAGAAGCGAATCCTGGTTCGAGAACGCTGAGCACTTCCTGCAAACAACCTTAGCACCAGCACGACCCCAGTTATGCTCAGACAGCTCGACAGCCCTCGCCAACTTAGGAAGAGGAGCCTGTGATTCCATTTTCGGGCGCTTCGAGGTCATGGGTCGGCTTGGGTAGCTGCTCCGAGAGCTCTCCTCGCGCGCCGTCGGACCAGGGAGCTGTCGGCGTCCCTCCTTTCTGCAGCAGGGTGCGTCGAAAGTAAGCTGTTCCAGGTAAGCTCGGACATTGCTGATGCTAGCGAGTCCGCACACTCGTCACCGAAAGTCAGAAACTTCGATGCCTGGTCGCGGAGCGCCCCCTCCTCTTGGTGGGAGGGAGCCCATACTATCAAGACAGGGTCTGCTGTCTCTCTGGACGGCATGGCCTTGCCGACTCGGGACCAAAGGTCGGCATTCACCCCAGTCTGAAGGGCCTCGAAACCAACCTTCGCGCCTTTGGTCCACGAGACAACCAACGATCGGGAGGTGGTCAGTGACGAACGTGAGAGGGCCTAGGATGCTCTCTATCGCGAGAGCCAGGGCGGTGACTCCCGCGCGAGGCACACTCCGTCTTCGTCCCTCGAACGTGGCCCCCCGGCCAATAGAGAGCCCGTCCAGGGGCAAACAACCGCCGAAGAGACGCAGCCGCCCCCAGACTACCCCGAGAGCACAGCACGAGCGCGGGCAGACCGCCTGGCGATAGATCTGGCGCGAATTTAGATCTTTCTTCCGATCCCTTCAGGGACCTGTTGTTCCTGTACTCGGAGAGTTTTGCAAACAGACAATAGACTATCAAGCAGAATGAGACTAACATAAATATGCGTCGCAAGAAAGCCCATTAAGAGTGGCAGGCAGAGGGGAGACGGAAAAGAGAAAGAAGGGGACAACGAGGGGGCAACTAAAGTAGTGATCGAGCCTGTCCCCCGCATATTGACCCCAGCGGCGGCGGAGGAGGGGGAGGAGGGGGGGAGGGAGAGCTGGAGGAGGGGGAAAAGGGGAGGGATGAGGAGGATCTGAAGGACGACAGGGAGGAGGACGAGGAGGGGAAGAAGGGCCCCCCCCCCCCCCGTACTGCCCGGCGGCCTCCTCGCTCCGGCAGCCTGCCGGGGGCGGCCTCCCCGCGGCCACGGCGCCGTCGGCGCACGGCAGGCGCAACCGCGGGGACGCTGCGGAGGCCCGCGGGCCTGGCCGCGGCAGCTCCGGGCTCGCCGAGGGCGACGGCAACGCCGCGCGCCAGGGCCCCACCTGCAGAGGCTTCCCACACGAGCGACGAAACTGAACGGGCCTTGCGCCAGGTGACGTAGCCACCTGACGCAGTGGCTCACGCGGGCCGCCAGCGTGGCACGCTGCAGTGGAGGCGGGGGCACTTGCGCGCGACCTTACGCGGGCAGCTTGCGCGCGAATGTGGGCAATCGGACCCCTTTTGCTTGCGTCTCTCACATGGGGTCCGAGTTGATGGATCGGAAGATCGCGCCGCATCGCCGATGCATTGCAGATGCATCGGCAATGCATCGGCGATGCACCCGCTATGTATCAGCAATACATCGGCGACGTTGGCGTAGAGCAAATCGGGCTCAACATCGAACCGCATCGCCGATGCGGCTCGATCCTTCGACCTGGGAAGCCCAGAATCTGGAAGGACGAGCCGAGCGGCACGAACACCAGACGTGCCCGCGTCGTCAGCAACAATCTGCATGGGAAGTTTTGCATCACTTTCGGCCTCCATCGGCCCATGGGCCTCGAGACCGTCAAAAAACGACGCGGCATGGAACCCCGGCGCCCGAGGAAAGGGTCGTGGCCTCCGGGGACCGCGCACGCGGCATGATTTTAAATTTGTCGGGGGTCCTCGCGGGACCTCCAAACGTTTGTGTTCATGCCTCTTTCTGTTTCTCTTAGGGCAGCGAGGCACGAGCACGGATATCTCGGGTTGGCACTGGACCGGCGATCTTTCGGATCTCCCGGAGGTCCGCGCGGATCTGTCGGGTCCGCCCACCGTCCCTGGCGCGCGAAGCGCGCCGGGGCGGAGATAGAGGCGCCACCTTTGGAACGGTCTGGCGCGCGGACTCTTTGAGGATTGCAGCCGTCGAACAGGAACGCTGGGCAAAGAACGAACAAGTTTTGTTTTCTGGGCCGCGGTGAACCTCGGTCGCGACAAGGCCATCCCCGACTCCAAAAGGCAACCGACGACCCGAAAACGGGAGCCCCTCCCCAGCCCTAAACTGGGGGGGTCAAACGACAGTCGGACTTGATTGGACAGGACACGCACGAGGACACAAGACCCTTCCGAAACCACATTGCCATTGGAATGTAGGAA